AGGTCTTAATTTCTAATGGATTCCTGAGTTAGCAGCTTCATTCAGAATATCTAGAGAATGTTACCAGGGATGCTTGTGCAAGTTAACAGCTCAATCTTACCCTAAACAAACGACATGATTACTTTCCTCTAAAAGAACTTAATCTCATACTCACACTAATCTCATTAAGAGTTAAAGCATACTACTATACTCAAGCAGGGCAGATAACATCAGAAGGTCCATCTTAAGTCCACAAGTCAGTCCTAGTTAACTTATGTAAGCTTAGTGAGGTTCAGTGATAATGGACCACATGCATGAATGATGAAGGACAAGCAGAGTTTGTTTAAGAACAAGATGAGTGCAGGAAATCCAAGAGATGACATTCAAACACATACATGGGACATTCTAACAGGGTTATAACATTACAAACATGGTTGGGTATTAAACATCATGGAATTATACTAACAATATAATTATAAAAGTTTAGAACAATGAAAACTTTGTATATGAATTAGACTTGGTTTAGTTGTACAGGTTAAGGGTGAAGATTTAATCATGATGAAGTTCCATTCAGCCTACCAACATAATAGATAATACACAGTCATAGGAGATGCAATTTTAGTCCAATTCCCAAGGAATAACTTAAGCTAAGTGAGTGCCAATTGACAGGGTACATACAAGAGTAGCTGCAGAAGTTCATTTGAACTTGGCCTAGTTACATCAAGGCATCATTTTATATAGGGAAATCTCATAGATGTGATCAGCAATAATGAAAGTTGACAGGAAAACTTGGCAATGATTTTTCAAGAGCTATAGGAACAAAAAGGTACATTGGAAAAGAAAAACTAACCCAAGAAACTGATACGTTTCAATTAAATGACAACCTTGAAGTCAGCTTAAGTGTTCGTATCATTTTTAAGAAAATAACTTCAAATGCATGACACAAATCAATAAGTAATACTAGGATGAAGATCAGTAGAGCAAACCTAATAGCCATAGCAAAATTATCATGGACAGTGTAAAGTCAAAAATAAGTGTATAAGATTATTAGAGTTCTTTGTTAATCACTGAAGCTCAGCAACGCATAGTGATAGGTTACAAGTACTTTGATTATAAGTACTTTACTTTATGTTTTGATGATTTAACAAACTTACTATCCATAACAAGATAAGAAACCTCAAGATCACAAGGCTCCAGGTTGGGATTCAGCGTGGAAATATGATTCAACTCTTCAGAGTGGAAGGAACAGCTGACGGACTAGGTCCCTACCAATTCCCGAGGAGACTGTACGAAGTCAACCTTCTAGCTGGAAAGTTGCTTCCTGCACACGCTACAGTGCAGGAACAGTGCTGCAGTCAACTTTCAAGGGAAGACTTTTTACCTACCTTGCTTACATCATTGTAAGTGATGTCACACATGTATATATGCATTCAAGGGAGGTAAAACAAAACAATTGAACACTTAGAGATTTTTACTTAAGTTCACTCATGTGACCATTCAGCAAGAAAGTTTCAAGTGGTTCAAGAACAAAGAACAAAGCAACTATTGACCAGTTCCCACATCGAGTTATTGCATGTCCTTAGTTGAATTGCGACTTTGTAATATCTCTTCAAATTGTAATTCCTATCTAGCTTATCAGAAGCATTTTATAGGAACACCTTTGTAAACCTTAAACCAGTGTGTTTGAGTCTTGACTAGAGTTAGTCATGTTGTAAAGTCTTTGTAATAGAGTTTATTAACAGTGGCTTATAATAGAGTATTACAAGTTAGTGAAGGATTAAGAGTTTAACTCCTAGGTTGCATAGGTTGTAATTTGAAAGTTGCTCAGTAGTGAAGTTGAAATCCTACAAGGGTAGTCGTGGTGTTTAATCCCGTTGAGATGGGAATTTTCCACGAAAAATTCCTCTTGTCATTTATTTGCTTTTGCTTTGTGTGTACTATCAAACCTGATAGAGAACATGGTTCTATATAGAGTTTGGTAGACTCTTATATTCTATCAATTGGTATCAGAGCGGGCTCTTTCTATCAGGTTAACACCTAGAAAGGATCTTCATGGCTGCTCCTCCAAACTTTGAAGAAGGCCAGTCTACGTACAGACCTCCTAGGTTCAACGGTCAATACTATGGGTGGTGGAAAACTAGGATTCATGAATTCATCATGGCTGAAGACTCTGAATTATGGGATGTAATATGTGATGGACCCTTTGTACCTACAAAGAACCTTGGCGATCCAGCTGTAGCGATTCCCAAGACGATGAAGGAATTCAATGACGCTGATAGAAAGGCCATACAAAAGAATTTTCAAGCAAGGAAAATTCTTGTATGTGGCATTGGCCCTGATGAATATAACAGGATATCAGTTTGTCAATCAACAATAGAGATCTGGGAGGCTCTTCAGACAGCTCATGAGGGAACAACTCAGGTGAATCAATCCAAGATTGATATGCTCAAAACAAAATATGAGTCCCCAGAATGATAGATGATGAGTCCATCCAAGATATGCATACTCGATTCACCTCCATCATCAATGAGCTTCACTCTCTTGGTAAAAGTATTCCAAGAAACAAGCTTGTACGAAAAATCCTTAGTATACTACCCAGTTCTTGGGAAAGCAAAGTTAACGCCATTACAGAGGCTAAGGACTTGTAGACACTAACCATGGATGAACTTGTTGGAAACTTGAAAACCTATGAAATGAAGAAGAAGAAGAAGAAGAAGAAGAAGGACAATGAAAGAAGAGAGCCCAAGAGGGAGAAGAACCTGGTCCTCAAGACTGACAACAATAACTCAAGTGGTGAAGACGGGGACATGTCTTACTTAACAAAAAGGTTCCAGAAGATGGTTCGCAGGAATGGACGCATTCCAAAAAGGGGAAGCTCTAGCAAGCCAAGAAATTATAACCTCTGCCACAAATGTATCAAGCCAGAATACTTCATCAAGGATTGCCCCCTCCTAAAGCAAGATCAGTATAATAATAGCTTTGATAAAGCAGCCGAGAGGAACCGGGTTCCTGACAAACGCTTCAAGAGGAAGAATGGTGCTGACAATGTTATAAAGCAAGCTCTTGCTGCATGGGGAGACTTCTTCAGCAAATATGAAGAATAAAACGACCATGGTGGTAGTTATATGATGGCAGTGGAAACTGAACGAACTGAGTATGAATCAATCTTCGCTTTAATGGCTTAATCTGAAAATGATGAAGATGACGACGACGAAGTGGTAAACTTTCTGGATGTTCAGAGAAATTTAAAATTTTACTCTCCTAAAAAGCTCATGTCACTAGAAAATGTGCTAAATGATGCATACCATAGTCTTATCAATGATAAAGATGGATTAAGTATGGAACTAGGGGAAGCTGAACAAACCAGAGATGACCTAATAGTCGTTGAAGTTGATTTTGAAAGAAACAATAGAGAACCTGGAAAAAAAAGAATGCCTTAGAAGAGAAATTTGTAGTATAGAACATGAAAGAGATGATCTAATGGTGGTTGTGGTGGACTTAAAAGAAACCATTGAGTGTGCAAGTAAAGAAAAGGAAACCTTAACTGAGAGAGTTGCTATCATTGAGCAAAAAAGAGATGACTTAGTAGTGGTGGTAGTAGACTTGAAAGAAATAATTGGGGAATTTAAATCGGTAAATTGGCCAGGAAACTCTGGAAAGGGAAAGGAAGTTGCAAGTGAAGCACACATTAAGCTTGAAAATGAGAAATATTTGGTAAAGACTAGTCTGTGTGCTGAACATGAGAAAAACAAACAGCTTCAGGAATAACTAGGGAAAGTAAAGAGTGATCCTAAGCAATTGCTTAAGTGGACCTGGTCCTCGGATGCTATCACTGCCATGTACACCAACTCTAGGGAAACAGGTAGGGGATTGGGTTTCAAAAGGAAGATTCCCTACAATTCTCATAGCAAGTATGTTACTGTACCTCACAATTGTCTATGTACCCATTGTGGTAACAATGGGCACCTCAAGGAAAATTGCATGGCCGGGGTTTAGTCTCATCAGAGAAATAAAGTCTTTGTTGAGAGAGCAACTACTGCAAGAGGACCTGGTCCGTCAAATAGGAAACCATCAAATAGGAAACACATTTTGCCTGCTTGGACTAAGAGATCACTCATTCATCCCTTTTCACTTAACAAGGGACCTAAACTCATTTGGGTTCCTAAATCTAAATTGATTTCCATGTGTAGGGAGCAGTGAAGGGGAGCAACCAATAATGACACATGAACAACGGCTGCTCAAAGGACATGACTTGAAATACAATCCATTGTCCTTCCCTAAAAAGCCCTGCAAGGAGAGAGTGTACCCTTTGAAAATGGATAAAAAGGGGGTACGCTTTAGGAGTTGGAAGATTTGTGTCAAAGGAAATAAAGGAATTTGTATCCAGGATATGCAAAATCTCAAATCCTGTGACTGGTGAGGTGATGCAGTAGCCAAAAGACACAAGAGTACTTATGTTGCTGTGATTGAGCGTCTGCAGAGTGGAGATATAAGTTGGTTGAAAGTTGTTGAAGACAATGCTGAACTATTGGACAAAAACTGGAACATTACAAGTTGTCTATCTCTAAAAAAAAGCAGATCTGAAGAACCTGGTTCGTGGTCTGATCAACTTAAGTAACAAGTAACATGAAGTCTGCAATGCCTGTGCAAAAGGAAAACATGTCAGATCTTCATTCTAGCCCAATAGGGGCAAACAACACTTCAGAACCAAGGATGTGATCTTTCAAGAAACTGTGGCTTTTGTCAAGAAGATCCAGGTACAGATAGAAACAAACGTGGCTTGCATCAGATCTTATCACGGAGCAGGTTTGGATAGTGACATAAGTGGATAAATGCTAAAGAAGAATTACTCAACCACTTAGCTCAAAGAACACCACATCAGATGGAGTTGTCGAAAAGAAGAAAATGTCTCTTTAAAATTGGGCACAATCAATGTTGATTGATAAAGGGATGGAAAACATCTTGACCAAAGTCGCTGACTCAATTGAGGATATTTGGGTACAATTGTTATGTTCTCAATAATGGGAAGGGTCATTTTTGAAAATCTAAGGGTGGAAGAGATTGAGGAATCCTCCTGTCGTACTCATCTCAAAAGAGAACGCCCATTGATTCCAGCAAAGAACCGGGTCCCGCATCTACAATTACAGAAGCTGAAAAACGAGCTGTTGGAAAGAGGATTTTTGCATAGAGATATTACTGAATCACTCTTGTATCTTACTGCAAGTAGACTAGACATCGTGATCAGAGTTGGGTTCTATGCAAGGTCTCAGTCAAATCCAAAGGATTCTCATCTGAAGGCTAGTGTAGGAATTTTGAGATATCCTAGAGGAACACAGGACCTGGTTCTCTACTGTCCTCCAAGTAATTGATAGGAAAAGCTCGCCTGAAATGGGACAGTCTTTGAGTTCCTGTCTTGTCTCATGAGGCTCAAGGAAGCAAAATCCAATGGCACTCTCAACAGCTAAAGCAGAATATGTATAATTAGCATCCTGTTGTGGTCAAGTGTTGTGGACCAAGCAACAAATTGGAAGAACTTGAGTCCAACTCAAGAGGGCCAAATACAGTGACTGCTGAAGATAAAGTTGCAGACATCTTCACCAAAAGCCTTGGGAAGAAAGCATTTTGAGAAAGATCGCCTTGCACTGGGGGATGATAAAACCCAACTGAGCGCCTGGTTCCTTATTATTGGTTGTGAGAGTCATAGTCAGGTAAAAGCTAGATAAACTGTTTTCTGACTAAGTCTGTAGACACGCATGATGACTATAGAAGTAGATGCTGCAGTGCATGATGAATAAGGGGATAAAACTCACTTGCCAGACCTATCAAGGAACCTATTTTTCTGATACAAGTTAGTAGCCTCTTTGTTATTTCATATATAATTTAAAATAGAAAAAAACAATGCCATATCATCATCAGCGTGACAGTCTTTTAAAGCCGTGTCTCTTCAGCCAATGTGAGCACGTGATTTTTGCCTCGCATGAATTACTCCTACAGAATTCCCAAAATTAGGATTTTTCTTTTAATTATTTGATTTTTAGGAATTATTGCATGATTTTTGTATTTGTGTGCATTTTTGTATGCATGTTTAATTTATTTAGTTCATAAAAATACAAAAATATGTTGCATGTGCATTTAGGGCCTTATTTTATATTTTTAGATTTATTAGTTAATTAATGTTACAAAAAATGAAAGAAAATAGCAAAAATAGTTCATTTTGCATTTTTGACTTTTTAATTTTCGAATTTATTATAGTTTCCTCTTAATTTAGGACTTAATTTATTTTTGAAAAATGATTAGTTTAGTTTTGGAATTAAATCAAGTCATTGTAGTTTAATTTGTATTTAACAAAAAATTTGAAAATCAAAAAGAAAAAGAAAAGAGAATGAAAAGAAAAATGAGGTTTATTAAAGACCAACTTTGGGCCAAATCCATGAAATACCCGTCCAAATCCACCTCCACACCCGGCCCAATCATTCCAACCCGGTCGAGAATCCCCATAACCCAAACACCCAGTATTGGGCATGTTTAATCACAACCGTTGGATCTCACTAATCCAACGGTCCGGAATTGGGGAGCTTAATAATATATATATGTCCTAATGACACCCCACTACCCACTTAGCTTCGTCTCCACAAACCCCTTTCAGAGACCCCCCTAAAGAACCCTAGCCCCACTGTGACCAGATGTGTATGTTGTTCTCTTCACACAAATGAAACTGTTGATCACATTTTCAGCAAGGGCAACTTTGCCAGAATTGTATGGAAAATATTTACAGGAATTGTTGGGGTCCAAACTGAAGAATTACCCCTAAGACTCCTATTGATGAAGTGGTGGTTGCTTCACAGTAACAATGAAGTCCAGAAGCTCATTCTCCATTCAATCCATATCATAATATGCTGGGACTTATGGAAGAATAGGTGCAGTGCAAAGTATGGAGCAAAATCAACTTCTTTGACTAGAGTCCTATTCTACATCAATTCAGATATTAATCTGTTGCTAAGGGCTAACTTTCTAGATATCAAGTGGCCTTTCAACTGGCAGGACCTTTACCCTTTCATTGAGAACCTGAAGCATCAAACCATCTCTACTCAAGTAGTGTGGATGAAGCCAAACCATGGTTATGTTAAGGTCAACAGTGATGGGAGTGCTCTTTCAAACCCAGGCAAGATTGGAGCAAGAGTGATCATCAGAGATCACAACTCTAACTTTATACATGCAATTGCTGCTCCTTTAGGGGAATGAACCAACAACTTTGTAGAAACTGAGGCTGCTCTTATAGGGATCCAGTGGTGTTTGGAAAATGGCTTTTCTAAAATCCATTTGGAAACAGACTCTGCCCTCCTTATTCTGTGGTTAACGAATGGCAAAAAATTCCCTTGGACCATCAAAATGAAGCTTCTGCAGCTCCAAGAGCTATGCAACTCCTGTGAAAGCTTCACTTGCTCTCATACTTACAGGGAAGCCAACTGTCCTGCGGATTCTTTGTCAAAACTCAGTCATGACCTCACCTCAAAGACTGAGTTTAACAATGTGTACTCATTACCTCCTCACATCAGAGGGCAGTTCCAGCAAGACTATTTGGGTACCCCTGCTTTTAGGCATAAGAAAATCAGAAAGATCCAGGCCCATCCAAACTATGCAAACACATCCAATTCATCTAATGGTTATGGTTGATGCCATAGTGAGAATGGAGATCCCCTCAGCAGTCCAAAACATCACCATGATCCAGAATACCACATGCACCACCTCACCTTGCTTCCCTGGGGGCAGCACAGTCAAGTTTTCTTTTTCACTAACCATGTTTGTTCTTTTGCAGGTTTTTCTTCCCTATAAACTATCCAACTCCTTGCTGATGTTTCAGGGTGTGGTATTAGCCATAGTGCTCATCCTCCTAAAATTACAGCAAATGGATGGTTTAGGTTGTAGGAAGGAAGCAACTCACTACATCAATGGAGGGCCATCTCCAATTTACAAGCAAATGGCCAATCTTCTATTTAGAATTGAACTCAGGAACATACCTGAACCTAGCACACACACACATCTCCAAATACCAGCTCAACAACATAACCCCTTACAAAAACCACTTTCCACCGTACAGTCTAATCCAAAGAACACCTACAAAGCTCTCTGCCCATCTCTATGGTTGTTCACAAATACTCCTAGAACCTACAAGAACCTAGGAGTAGACCCCACCACTTGGATACCTCACAACACATACCCAAAATCCAAAAAACCCATAAAAGCAGCAGACTGCAGAAACTGGGCTGATCTCCCTAACTCAGCTTCCTCTCAACACAAGAACCTGCAGTCTATGCCCTCAGCTCATCAACTCTCATTGATAGTACCAGAACACACAAGAACCTGGGAACTAGGACTGCCTCACATCAATGCCAGCAGTCAACACAAGAACCTGTTGGCACTTGTATATCAGAACTTGCATCAATCTCATAAGAACCTGCAAGAAGCTTCTCAACAAGATTTCCTAATACAGGCAACTGAGCACCAGCATTCTAGCCAAAGACACTCATATAGATGCCCACTCTTTACTGTCAATAAAGGCCATTGCACCAGGCAACTCCTACAGTTGAGCAGCATCACAGATGATACACAAATGCAGACAAGCAGCAGCAACACTACTAGGCAATTGAGGCTGTCTGCCACTGACTGCAGTCAACACAAGTACCTTCAGTCAGTCTTTCTTCATAATTCAGGGGTCATAACTTCCCCCCTCTCCCCAGACTCATATCCAGATGCCACAAGATCCTGGACAATGAGCTCCCCTTCACTAACAGGTTTGTTACGTATTGCAGGTACTAGGAGCAGATTTGATCAACTGATGCATTCCCAGTCAGTGGTGTCAGCATCCAAGATGCTCATTCTGCTGGAAATGTACCAGTTGATCCAAGTCTCTCAACCCCCCCCCCCCCCCCCTCAAGAACTCCCCGGTTTCTAGTAGATTGCAACCTTGTGCTTCTGATTCCGTAAAACTGATGGAAACACAGCAGAATGCTAGCTTCACACAAGCAAATATTCAAGCAAATATTCAGCCTCCAGCTCAACACCAAAACATCATCAATGCCAAGATACAACTCAGCACTTAGGATCCAATTGTCTGCACTCCCTTGTTTTCTATCTTCAACCTAGTTTTCCTTGTACTCAATGTCAAAGCTAGATTGAAGATAGCATTAAATCTCACCAAAATGTTTTTGTCGTACTCTCTTAGGAATTCTACACTTTCAAGAGTTGTAGAATTGTCTGTATATGGAAGATGATCTTCCAACCAATCCTTTGCATAGATTTAGGTTTTCTTGTGCTATTATGTATAGTTGACCTAGGTTATCTTCAGATTGTTTTTGTATATCTGATTACCTACCACTTAGAGGTAGATAATTGGAACATCATGATAGGTCTAACCTCTCACAGCATACATGTGTCATTTGGTTGTCAATGTTGGACAAACAAATGCCCTTTCATCTTATTTCTGGAGGTCAGGTTTATGTCCCCCTCCAGTTTTTGTACTTTATGTTATATATATATATATATGAAAACCAGCCCTAGGCACAATGCCTAGTGGTACTTATTAAAAAAAAAAAAAACCCTAGCCGCCCTCTTCTCTACCACCCAAAACCATGGCGGCGCCACTCCCTTTCCCCACCAAAATCACACCCTACAACCACCTCACCCCCCTCATCTCAAATCCCCATTCAATTTCTTTCAAATCCCCCCAAAGCCTCTCGAATCTTAAATCTAAGTTTTGAGTTCTAGGGTTCGAAGTCAGAATCTCCATGCGAGGTCACCCCTCCAAGTTCCCCATTTGTTCCGAGTCTGTTTCGTCTCGAGATGATGTTCTTCGTCCGTTCCTGACAAAGAATCGACGATTTATACCATTTCGAGATTTAAACAGAATTACCCGTTGTTTTCAAGCCCAAACTAGTAAGTTTCCTTTTCTTTCTTCATATCTTTATTCATTTTGCTTCGTCTGGTTCTCCTGTTCTATCTACATATTTTGAATTCATCCCCCCCCTAAGGCAGTTGTTCGGTATGTGTGCGTGTGTTTGTTTCTTTTTCATCTTTCCAATTTTTTTTCTTTTAGTCAATATTTTCATATCTTTATGTGATTTTTTATCTTAGGCTATTAAATTTTCTGATAGTTTAGTTTAGGTAGGTTGGTGTCGAATTCTTAGTTTAATTTTAATATACCAACCTAGCATGTTAATTTGATACATGTTCTGAAATTATGAAACTGTTTTCATTTTTGCCTATCATGGACAGGCTTGGTTTGCAACTCCTTTTGTTTTGAATTCCGGGTTGGGTCTGTGGGGAATTACTGAATTGTTTTGGGTTTCGATTAGTTTAAAAGCCCAAAGAAAAGGAAAATTCAGTCTGGTTTGGGGCTGGACCCTGGGTCAACTTGACCCATGTGGTACGCTATAGTAAAAACAGGGCACTAAGGGGGTATTTTGGGTAATGTACTTGGGGAATCTCTCAAGTAACTGCTAAGGAAGCTTCTTAGAAGCTGCAAAACAGACTTGCTTGGCAAGCAAGTCTGTAATTGAGGGACTAAGTAGTAAAATTGAAAATTGAGAAAGGGCTCAAGGGCAAAACCTGGCCTATATCTGCTGCCCT